AAGTATTTTATTATTTTTATTGATCATGCTTTATGTAAGACTTTGGTGTGTGTGTTGAAAAAAAAAGTTAAGTATTACAGTATTTTTAAAAATTTCATGCCATGGTAGAAAAGATGATAGGGCTACCTTTGAAGTATATTTGGATTGATAATGGTGGATAATACACATTCAAAGACTTTGAAAAGTATTGTTCAAAGCATGGGATTAGGCATGAGATGCATAACCTAAAAACTATAGCATAATGGTATAGCTGAAAGGATGAACAACACCATTATGGAAAAAGTCAGATGTATGTTGAGGATGGCAAACTTACTAAAGCCATTTTAAGGTGAAATAGTCAACACAGCTTGTTATTTGCTTAATAGATCACTATCAATTCATTTGAGTTTTGCCATTTCAAAAAAAATATGGACAGAAAAGATATTTCATACTCTCACTTGAAAGTTTTCAGGTGTAAAGCATTCATGTATGTGCCAAAAAACAGATGTCAAAACTTGATAATAAAGCCACATAATGTATGTTTGTAGGATATGGTGATGAGAAATTTGGTTATAAAGTATAGGATCTAGTAAAAAAAAGTCAAAAGTAGAGACGTAATCTTTCATAAAAAATAAACCATAGCAAACCTAAAAAAAATGACAAGACTACATAAATTATTATTGAGTATGATGTTTTAACATTGACAGAGGTTCTATAGGAAAAGCTACAAAATGGCATAAATGAGCAAGAAACAAAACTTGAGGATAATAATGAGCCAGCCACAGTTAGTGATAAATCAAATGTAATCAGTTTTGAGTAGGAGGAGCAATTTTCTCTACCTAAAAGTGTTGAGTAGGGTGAACAGTCATCTCCACCAGAGAGTGTTAAGTAAAAAAAGCTACTTTCAGCATCAGGTGATATAGAGTCTCAACTTAAAAGATCTATTAGAGAGTACAAGCCATCTATCAGGTATCCAAGTTCAGATTTTATTTTAGTTACCAGTGAAAGAGAGCTAGAGAGTTTTCAAGATGTGTAGACTACTTCGGATAAAAAGCATTGGTTAAAAGTAATGAAAGAAAAGATAGAGTCATTATGAAAAAATGGTATATATGATCTTGTTAAACTTTCGAAAGAAAAGAGGCCATTGAAGAATAAATGGGTGTTCAGGTTAAAAAAGGATGGTGACAAACTAGTGAGGTACAAAGCTTGATTAGTGGTGAAAGGTTTTTCTTAAAAACCAAGCATTGATTTTGATAAGATCTTCTCTCCAGTTGCGAAGATGAGTTTCATTCTAGTGGCATTAGGATTAACGGCTAGTTTGAATTTTAAGCTTAAGCAATTTGATGTCAAGATTACATTCTTGCATGGTGACTTGCAAGAAGATATTTATATGAATCAACTTGAAGGTTTTGAAGTGAAAGAAAAAAGGCACTTAGTTTGCAAACTGAAAAAAAATTTGTATGGCTTGAAACGAGCTCTATGATAGTGGTATAAAAATTTTGATTCTTTTATGGTTAACAACAACTATAAAAGAACGGTAGCAAATCCTTGTGTGTATGTTAGAAAATTCTCTAATGGTAACTTCATTATTCTTTTATTATATGTTGATTGTATGGTTCATAGGTTGAAAGAACAATTGTCTAAATTTTTTAACATGAAAAATTTAAGTTCAGCAAAGCAGATTCTCGATATAGGTATTATCTGAGATAAGAAAGCTAAAAAGCTATGGTTGTCATAGAATAAGTATTTTAAATGGGTGCTTAGTAGATTCAACATGCAACATGCTAAACTAGTTAGCAGTCTACTTTCAAACCATTTTCATCTAAGTAAGAAATCTTATTCAATGATTAAGGAAAAACAACTAGCTATTTCTAGTATTATTTATTCTTTTGTAGTCGGTTGTTTAATGTACCTTATGATTTGTACACAACCTGATATTGCTTATACAATTGTTGTAATGAATAGATTTCTTTCTAATCTATGAAAAGTTCACTAGGAAGCAATAAAATAGATTTTTAGATATTTGAGGGGTACCTCAAAAAAATGTGCTTAAGTTATGAAGTTTCACAACCAATTCTAAAAGGGTTTGCTGATGTTGATATGGCAGGTGATCTTAATGGTAGGAAATCTACTTTAGGGTATTTGTCCACTTTTGCAAAATGAGTTATTTTTTGGCAGTCTAAGTTGTAGAAGTGTGTTACCTTATCAACTATAGAGATTGAGTATATTGCAGCAACAAAAACAGGTAAAGAAATGCTTTGGATGAAATAATTTTTTTTTAATTGGGGTTGAATCAGAAAGGCTATGTGGTGTTTTGTAATAGTCAAAGTGCTTTAGATTTGAGTAAGAATACCATGTACCATGCTAGAATGCAGACATTGATGCTAAATATCATTGGTTACGTTCGATGATTGAAAGATAGTAAATGCTATTGAAAAAAGTTTATACTGATAAGAATGTAATAGATATATTGACTAAAACACTTCCTAGGAAAAAGCTTGAGCTCTGTAGTAACTTGATCGAAATAAGTTCCTTGACCAAGGTAAATTCTAAATGACACTGCTATGGTAATGAATCTCATTTTAATGAGACTAAAGGGGAAATTGTTATAAAGACTAGGGTCTAACCCTATTGGTATTAGCCAATTAAAAGGCCTAAAGCCTTTTTTTTTTTTTATCTTTGACCTAAGAGAGCCCTTCTTATATAGAGCCTTAAATAATAAAAAGGGGGTTGTGTAGAAACAAAAAATGGTGGCACCAAAACCAAAAGATAAAAAAAAAGCTAGGAAAAATAGAGAGAAATGGGAGAAAGGAGAGTTGGTTGAATAGAAGTCGATCCGTGATTCGATTGAGCTAAAATTTTGTCAATAGGTTTATGATTCAGAGTTATACATTTTAAATAGTGACGATCAAGTTTAAAGCTCTCTAAGAATAAAATCTAGAATGTATTTGTTAAGTCACCTATTTGGTGAGATTTCTTCAATTGTCTCTCTAGTTGTTGATTAGCTCTAGTTTTAGCTAGAGAAAAACTTTATATATCCATTATTTGATAGTAGAGATTTTTTTGGTGGTCTGTGGTTTTACCCTCTACACTGGAGGGTTTTTCACGTAAATCTTGGTGTATTTTATTTTTTCTACATTGTTGATTGTTGTTTATTACTGTGAGATTATTGTGATATATTGCTTCAGGCCCAACATTATCTTCTTTCTCTCAAGATTACTTTTTCAGGTAGTGATGTCTTCGATCATTGTTTTCAATGTTTTTTCCCTTGTTTTTCTTTAAAAAAAAAAAGAATAAAAAACTTTTAAAGATTAATTATATTCTGGATGAAGTTTAGGATGCATGTTTGATTTCACTTTTTCTTTAATTAGTATTACTTAACAAATCGGTAACAATTTTAGAATTAAGCATATCAAGTAATAGTAATAAAAATTATTACTATTACTTCAAAGGTTATTCCTTTTACTCTCTCGATTTTTTGTTTACAAGCTTGTTAACTTTTAACTACAACTTCATTGGGTTTTGATTTTAAATTTTGTTTTAATCTCTGTTTTTGCAAACCCTTTAATATCATGTAAATTGATATGGAAAATAGATGATAAAAGTGAGAGTTGACAGCTGACAAGCATGTTCAGTACATTTTATTTGTTGAAAAGGTAAGTTTCAAACTCATTGATTTTTAGTTTTTATTTTACATTTTTCAAACTCAATTTTTATCCTAGGTTTTATTTTGAGCTTATCTAAAGTTGATTATTTTGGGGTTTGTTATTGTTAGAGAAAGGATATTTTTGAATTGGTGGTGATGGACCATCTAAGAATGAATGGGGCATATTGGGGATTAACAACCTTGGATCTTCTGGGGAAGCTTGATATTATTGATGCAGATGAAGTTATTTCATGGATCATGAAATGCCAACATGAATTTGGTATATTTCAAGGCTTAGTTTTTTATGTTTAATTGTTAGTATTATTAGTGTAAGTAAAAAAAAAGTCTAGATTTAAGTTAATTGAATCATAATATTAAAGAAGTTTGATTATACTTTCTTATACAAGTGGTTTTTTTGGTAATATTAGGCACAAACCACATATACTGATACTCTCATCACTGTGCAAGTGTTGGCCCTTTTCAACAAGCTAGATGTTCTTAACATTGATAAGGTTGCTACTTGTATCCTTTTATATATTCTATTGCTGAAATTATTTGCTCTTCACTAGAGAGTTTCTATTATTCCATGATGATTATCCAATTTATGGAGTTGTTTTAAAATGATTTGCATAACTTTAATATATAATGTTGGTAATTTCTTTGACTCATTACAATTGGCTATTTAAATGTAAACTGCCTCTAGGGTCTTTATGTTTTACTTAAATCTCTAAGTTAGATATTATTAGGTTGCAAAATGAAAATTGATCCTTTTTAGGGGATCTACGGGGTGGATACATTGTATATGTTCTTCTTGGATCTTATGTTAAATCTGCGTATATTTTGTTTTTTGATTTAGTATTTTTAGATGTAAATCCTCTTTCACCAAATTCATTTTCTTGGTTTAGTTTCAGACGGCATAGATAAGGTGTGAGCCTATGGAATCTTTGTTGTTATGTAAATGTTGGGTTTCTCTTCTGCAAGTAATACTAGCTTTAAAGTTGCCAAGAACTGGGTAGTTGAACATGATGTTAACCAAGACATAGATAAGCTGCCCTTGGTATGACATTTTTGTACCTTATAAGTAGTTCTATAAGTAGTTTTATAAGTAGTTTTATAAATAGTTCTATGCTGACCCAAACATAAATTAATGTATTTATAGTTCTATAAGTAGTTCTTAAAGATGTTTCCTATACCAACAAATACTTATTATGTTTGTGCATTGTGCAAACAATTGATTTAGTCCTTTGTTATAAGCACACAACTTATTGTCACCAAGAAGCAGTGATAATTTTAGTAATACCCTTAAAATGTATCTGAAAGCCATAAAAATACATAAATATTTCTTTTGACCGAATTTATATTGATAAATACATTAATGCATAAGAGGGTGAGTTTGTTTGGTAGGAATGTTGATTTTGTAGTTGGAAATGTGACTAGGGTTGCTTTGAAAAATGGAGGATTTGGGGTAATGGAGGTGGATGGGTATGCATTGGCACAATTTTGGAAGAGTGTTCCAATTGAAGGGTGTAGCAAGTGCCTACAAAAGGTGACAAAGGCAGTGAGAGGCTGCGTGCCAAAGGAGGAAATGAGAGGGATGAATATTAGGTGTTATTAGAGGTACTCAACCAAGAAGTTTTATAATGAAGGAGGAGATGCAGTGCATCATCATGGTAAGTCTTGTTCTTAATGTGAAAATGGATTGAATTTATGTTGAAATGAAGTGTGCTTAATGTGATTGCTTTGATTTTTTTTCCCTTATTTGCAAATAAATTTTGCAAGTTTGATCTTGGCTGTAGACACTTCCTTTTGTCTGAAAATTTTTTCATAATTGAAAATAAGCTTTAACCGTAAATTGGGCCCAATTAAAAAAATATCTTTTAACTTAATTTTTGGTTTAATTTTACTTTTGTCTAAAAAAAAGTTAAAATGATGCCGGGAGATTTTTGGGATTTAATTCCAAAATCAATTCACATTAAAATGGTGTTGAAAGATTTTTTGGATTTAATCCCAGAGTCAATTCACATTAAAATGATGTTGAGAAATTTTTTAGATTTAATTCCAAAATAAATTATTATTAAGATAAAATAAAATAAAATCATAGATTTAGTATGAATTTCTTTATAAGTATGTGATCAAAGCAAGAATAATATGAAAAAAAAAAGAACAAAAAAAAAAAAAAACCCATCGTCCCATTGTCATTGTCACCAGCATCTCCCCTTTGCACGCCGCCCATTGTCCACCGAGATTTGAAAACTTCCAACATCTTGTTGACTGAAAATATGCAAGCTAAGATAGCTGATTTTGGCCTGTCTAAAGCTTTTGTGACAGAAAATGCTTCTCACATATCAACTCGTCCTGTAGGCACACGCGGACACCTTGACCCTGAATTTCACAAGTTAGGAAACCTAAATAGAAAAAGTGACATTTATAGTATTGGGATAATTCTGTTTGAGCTTATCATTGCCCAGCTAACAGTATTAAGAGGTTCAAAATACAACATTCACGTACTTCAATGGGTGACTCCTGCAATTGAAAAAGGCAACGTTCGGAGCATCATTGATCCTAAGTTGAAAGGCGAATTCAACACCAATGCTGTCTGGAAAGTTGAGGAGATAGCGATGGCATGTACACAGCCAACTTCAAACAAAAGGCCAGATATCAGTCACGTACTAGCAGAACTTAAGGATTGTTTGGCTCCAAATCAGATGGCCCCAAAAAAACCTCAAACGATGCAGACCACCAATCTAATAATAACATCCTAACACTCACCTTCAAAAGCCCATTCGGGTGGTGTTGACTCATATGCAGCTCCCAGCCCCAGGTAATCTCCAAACAATTCCTTGTTGTAATGATTGTAGACCTGATAAGCTAAGTTATTTATCCAAATTTCAGCTAAGATAATACCATGTTCATTAATAGACTTTAAATTGATATGTATGTGCGTATGTACTTTTGAAATCTTCATCCTAAAAGTGTGTGAAGGAAATGATAAAATTTGTGAAAAAAAAAAGTTTTTCAATCTTATCAAATTATTGAAGGATTTTTCATGAATTTAAATTTTTTATAAATTCTATCAAATTATTAGAGAATGTCATAAATCAATTTTATAAAAAATATTACTAATAAAATATTTTGTTTTGATCCTATTAAATTATTGGAGGATTTACATATTAAATTAAGTTTTACCAAATTATTGGAAGATTTAATACATTTTCTAAAAATATTTTTACAAGAAAATCTCACCAAACTATTAGGATATCTACATCAAAGTAAATCTTACCAAATTATTGGATGACTTTTCTAATTATTTTTTTGAGTAAAATATTTTAATAAATCCGACGACGGAGCCTCTTCAGGATGTGATACTAGTCTTCATAAATATTTCTAAGTGAGAGAATTATCTTAAATTGCTACCAAACTATTGGGATAGTTTTAGGATTAATTTTCAAAATTAAATATTTTGATAAATTTTAAACATATCTAAGGCTTGAATAATGTGAAATCAAACTGGTACCATTTTTTGATGGGCATTGTGAGGGTGTTATAACTTTTCTCACACATAACCGTACTCCCACACCTAAAATTCGATTTTGTTGATCAGAATCTATTATTTAAAGATACCTAAGTCAATTTTGAGACTCTTCTTCAAATATGATAGATTTGATTAGGTGGTCAATCACATTTAAACAAAAAAAAATTGGTGGCGACTCTTTTAAAAACTATGTCTAGTGGTAGGTCTACACATTTATACGGCATGATAGTTTGGCGACTCCATTCCAAGTCTTCCATCACAACAGTTTGCATTTTTGATAGGCTATACTTATTTAAAAATACTACCTACACCCAATAAAGGGAAGTCCAAAGCTATAACAACCCTACCCTAGTTGAAAAGGTAGTTGAACCTATCCAAGTTCCTAATTTGGACATCTCAAAAGAGAAATTAAAAATGGTTGAGGCTTTAGAAGGTTCAAAAGCTGATTACAAGATGAACATGCTAGATAAGAAGTTACGAGATATTGAAAGATTAGATTTTTATGGCTCTATGGATGCTGCCAACCTTTGTTTGGTCCCAAATGTTGTAATTCTTCTAAAACTTAAAGTTTTAGAGTTTAAAAAGTATAATTGTACTAAGTATCCAATAACACATGTCACTATGTACTGTCAAAAGATGGTAGCCCATGCCAATAACAAAAATCTACTCATGCATATGTTTTAAGACACCCTTACTGGGTCTGCTACAAGATGGTATGTCCAATTGGACCAGACTCTTATTCGAACATGATAGAACTTGATTTGCTCATTTATTAATCAGTATCGCCACATTATAAACTTTATCCCTGATTGCTTTTCTTTACAAAGCATAGAGAAGAAGACATTTGAATCCTTTAAAGAATATGCCTAACATTGGAGGGATACGGTTGCTTAAGTTTAACCTCCTTTGATTGAGAAAAATAATTGTATTGTTCATTAACACCCTAAGAGCACCCTACTACGAGAAAATGATAAAGAACACAACAAAAAACTTTGTTGACATGGTGATATCAAGGAAGATTATTAAGAATGCCATCAAGAGTGGCAAGCTTGAGGAATGAGAGGTCAGTAATATCAAGAAAGATGGGATACCTGAAAAGGAAGAAGATGAAGCCTAAACGGTTAGTTTTGAGAGGCATCAATCCAAAAGTTATGCTCTATATCCACCATATATTCATCCTATTTACTACTCAGTAGCCAATAACATTGCACAACTTTCTTACCAGCCTTATTTTCCAAAGATGAACAACATTGCTCTAAGTGTTTATCAACCAACTTTTCAAGCACCTGCATATGGGCCTAATCTTGTTACTATACCAATTTTAAGGGCTAATAATCAAATGAGTGTTTTAGGAAGATCCAAAGGTAATCAAGAAAGAGCTTGCATTGATCATATCCCCACAACCTATATTGAACTAATTCTAGAATTGGTCAAAAATGACTTAGTATCCCCAGTCTTTTTAGAACCATTGAAGTCACCATATCCCAAATGTACAATGTTAATGCCATATGTGACTACTATAATGGGAATATGGGTCACTCTATAAAAACATGCTCGCTTTCAAGCATAAGGTACAAAGTTTGATTTGAGCAAGCTTGTTGAGCTTCAATGAATCAGAATAGTTGAATATCCATAAAGGCCTTTTACCTAATCACCCAGAGGCATGATTTTGGGAAAGTTGATTGAATTGATTATCTTAAGATTTCTTGAAAATATGAATCTCTTTTATTTACTTGGATTTCATCTAATTTTTCAATATTTTAATAAAAATGACAAATTTGATGCATTTTCTTGACATTCTTCTTTTGTGTGAATCACCATTATTTACTTTTACCTTCTCATACTTTTTTTCCATATCTATTCTTTGATTCCTAATAATGAATGTTTAGACAGTCATGACAATAATTCAAGATTTGATTTTAAAGACATCGTTCATGATTATTTGATTGATAGGTGGAAATTGTTGTCATTAGGATTGCTGAGTAAAGAAAAATAAATCTAGTGAAGAATTTTAGAAGTAATGCAACACATGATCTTTGTAATTATTCATTCACAAGTCTGCTCTTGATCAATAAATATTCTTTATTGAGAGTATTTATGTTTGAAATGACAAATGACTATCTTTATTTTATCCTTAAAAAAAAGTAAAATTATACTTTGCTACCCTATTTGAGCCTATTGAAAATTTTTTTTAAGGAATCCTAACCAAGGATTACCCCCACACAAGGGGCAAAATTTGAGAAGCTTGTTTATCCTTAGTGATTTCATAGGTAAAACCTTATGGTGCTTAAATTTTTCTTGAAAAATGATGAAAAAAAAAAGAAAAAAGAAAAGAAAGGAAGAAAAAAGAAGAAAAAATTAATGGGGCAATATGTCAAGGTGTTTTACATGAAAAAATGATTCTTGGTTTGATAACCCTTCAAATACAATTTGGGCTAATTTTATCCATTTCTTTCTAACCCTTTACCCTAGCCTACATTATGTCCCTTGAAAGTTCATTTTGATTAAATGTGAATACTCGAATTGGAGAATCATGAATTGAAGCAAGATAGATTTTTCATTGGATTGTTTGGGACTTTGATCAAAGTGTCACTGATAGATAAATGGGATAGAGAAATGAAAAGAAAAGATGTGAATAAGGTGTGTTAAAAAAAAAAACAAAAAAAGTAAAAAAAAAGGTAGACTTAAACTGAAAACCCGAAAAGGCGGATTAAGTAAAGATGAAAACTCGAAAAAAAACTTCATGTAAGGATTCCAGGAATAAAGATGATGATTGGCTTAAAGATCGAAGATATTGATGGAATGTGTTTTTGAAAGAGAATTCTGTGTTAAAGTTCAAAATTGTCTAAACAATCATTATTTTGGATGTTGATATCCTATTTGAATAGTCACAATATTTTACTTTTGTTCACTTTTGATTTGTTGTTGACCATTTTTTTCGATAATAAAGACCCATTTTTCTTATTCTTTACCAAGTGTACATCCTCTGAATGAATCAATGAAATGCATCATATTTGTCATGAATTAGAATGTTGGTAAATAAATGAATGACACTGTTCGTAAAAGATTTTTTCATTCTTTTGAAAGAAATCCAAGATGAAAAAAGTAAAATAAGCATGATAAAATTATTTAAAAAGGGTAAAAAGATGATCCAATGATGAATTCAATGATAGATTGGTTGACATGACCTATGAGTTGAGATCAGATGAGGATAATAACATGGATTAGTTGAAAGAATTTGTTCAAAGATTATTAATACGAGAAGCTAAGAAGAAATGGTGGAGTCTAAAAAACTTTGTTACCATAACTAAAATTTCATGACATTGATTTAGTAACGTCTGTATTACATATATTGTGTTTAAATCCTTGATAATTGCATTTGCATCCTAGATAGACATGCATAACTCATTTTCAATTTCGACTTGGTCTAGATCATTTTTCTAGTCCACTATTCAATCTCGGTCATTCATCTTCAACCTTAACTTGATCTTGGTCATTTTATCGTTATGACTCGTGATTTGACCTTGATCATTCATATTTGACTTCGACTCAGTCTTGGTCATTTTATCTTTCTAACTTGTGGTTTGATTCTAGTTATTCATCTTTGACCTCACTCGATCTTGGTCGTTTTATTTTTTTGGCTTGCGATTCGATCTCAGTCACTTATTTTCGATCTAGACTTGGTCCTGATCATCTAACCCATGGTTTAATCCTGGTCATTCATTTTCAACCTTGACTTGGTCTTGGTCACTTTATCTTTCTGACTCATAGTTTGACCTCATCGTTCATCATTGATCTTGACTTGATCAGGGTCGTTTTATCTTTTTGACTCATGGTTCGATCCTAGTCATTCATCATTGACCTCAACTCGATCTTAATCGCTTTATCTTTCTGACTCACAGTTTGATCTCGGTTATTCATATTCGACCTTGATTCAGTCTTAATCATTTTATCTTTTTGATTAGCAGTTCGATCTCGGTTACTCATTTTCGATCTCAGTTCGATCCAAATCATCTCTTTAACCTACGGTTCAATCTCAATCATTCATCTTCGACTTCAACTCAATTTTTGGTCACTTTATCTTTCTAATTCTTTCAATTTTGTTATGAAACCTTTGGGAAACTTAGAATCTTATGAATATTCCATTCTTGCGAATCTGAAAGTCATTGTGAACCTAAAACCTTTTGCAAATCTAAAACCTTTGTGACACTTGAAATCTTATGAACCTTCCATTTTTGTGAATCTGAAAGTCTTTATGAACCTGAAACCTTTATGAATCTAGAACCTTTATGACACTTAGAATCTTGTGAACCTTTCATTCTTGCGAATTTGAAAATCTTTGTGAATTTTTTGCGTAATTTAAAGTATTGAGATTTTTCAACTTCTGTCGTGGAACCTTACAAATCTTTAAATTTTCAAATTGTGAATCT